ACTTTGGACAAAACGGCCTCTGCTTTGATCTAATAAGCAGAGCCCAAGAACGTGTTAGTTGTCAATGTTCATCTTGTCATGAATAACATTATCTGCTACCATTCAGCAGGCAGAAACACAGACGAAACGTAACCCCAAAAATCCGGAGTAGCCAGCGCATTGTATCTTTCCAGTTCCGATGATAATCATAACATTTTAATTTATGATAACGGGTTCACTCGGCATATGCGCAGCGGCCCCGCCTACCTGCCCCCGGGGAAGTCATTTAAGCTTACCACCGTTGCACGACTCTTGAACACTAAAAGGTATCTCCAACTTGGGCTGAACAAGGTCCCGTTTCAATGGTTTGCCTAGGTCACCAGAAGTATCGGAGCGACAAATCTTGTATCAGAAGTTCAAATGTTATGATTGCCGGGAAAACTGGAAAGCCACTATGCCATAGATACCCCGTAATATGAAGGTTATATTTCGTCTAAGGCAGAGGAAAGTTACAGATTCGCACTCCGCACATACCTCAAAGTGGACGCGCTGCCAAACCGAGTTCCATTCTGCACCTCATCGCCCATCTATCTGTAGATCTCTCTGAGGCGGGGGGCATTTGAGCAGCACGTGATTACGACAGATTCATGCATCTGCACGTATAAATACATGTTGCAAAATGTCGTAAGTTACAACAACACGTTGTTCGTCGCCAACAGCGTTCTAGGAGCCGCCGGCTTCCGCCAAATAAGTTAGTCGGGTTTGTACGAAAGAGTATGTGAATCAGTGCACAGCTTTGCCAAAAATGATTTCACGACATACCGAACCGCCGGTGGTTCCCAGGAACTCAGAAAGCTGCTAACCACACCGCAGCGTACACCTGCAGTGCGTAGCGCGTTGGTGCTTCTGGCATCCTCCTATCCGTTAGCTTGATGTGTTTCTCGTTTGACTGTCATGTGGGATCCAACAACTACTGCCCCCCCCTTTCACACGTGCGCTGTCGCCTGTGCGCTGTGATACTGCCGTTTCAGTAATCGGCACCGTGTAGACGTTGGCGTGAGTTGGCATTCCCCGGAAGTACGGCAGGGGCAACCGACCGTTAACCCTTAACAGCGCGAAGCGACGAAGCTCCACCGAAACGTAAAACCGGTTGTTCGTCATGAAAGCGTCCCGTTAATTAACGACCAATTGTAACTGCCTCCGACGCTCGCGTCTTCTCCCTCCGCGAAGGCAAACGTATTGTTCTGCGCCAACGGGATGACCATGGAACTGACCAGAAGACGACTGGTCTGCACTTCGACGAAGCAGACTGACTGTTCGCAGGGGCTGCTCGAAAATGGAAGGCTGTGTCGTTACTGGGTTTCAAATCAGAGCAAAAAGACCAGACAAGGCGTGTGATGAGGTTAAACACTTTCGACGGCGAAAAACCTCTTTTGAAGCTGCCAGCGTCTGTGTCGAATAAATTTCCAATTTCCGACTGTCTCATCAACCACCGTTTAAAATCAAGCCAAGACTTGACTGAGCCATAATTTTTAATTTATCTTTAAACTTTCAATAACTGATTTGTAGTAAACGACGGGGACATTTGCCATACAGCAGTCGTTATGCAACTGAAACCTTCGACAGTACTTACGAATGAGGCAGTATTCGGCACCGTAATACACTTCATGATCTACCTCGTCAATTGTGCCACAGTATGGTGGCCAGATCGTCGACTAAGACTAACAAGGCTTTCATCACAGATCTGTCTCCAGGTTGACGATGAATGCGCAAGTTCGTATAATCGATTTCTTGAACTCTCCTCCTACGTCGGATCAATTCATATAAAATGTCGTCATCTCCTCGGCGCTTAACGGAGATTGTGGACAGAACGGTTGTTTGCCACGCCCGGGCCCAGAGGCGTTCTAAGTGAAGATATGAGGCTGCATAAGATTTGGACGGCTCTGAGCATTGCTCGGTGAACTTGAACCCAGCGATGCATATTTGACGGGCGTGTGAACGCAGCACGGGGCGAAGTCTCATGAGAAAGGCGACTTAGTGCTCGTTTTTAGAGGAAAGGAAGCGACAACGTATCTGATCGATCGAAATGGCGAAGCCCGGTAAAACGTGTACTTATGAGCCTATACAGTAGTCGCGAAACCCTGTTATGAACCCTTGATCGATCGACTAACGACGCCTCAGTAACCGAGGCGGGCAAAGCTCATTATGCAATTCAATGCACTTTTGCCTAGAAGTAGGACAGACATTTGTGCTCAACCATGGACGCAATGATTGACGTCCTCCATTCTTGCCAGGTCTACTGAGAGTGCGTCATTTGTCTAACGTCTGAAAATACGATGACAGCCTATATGACGGTGATCGTTGGCTGCTGTAGTAATTGTAATATATTTTCCATTGCACGTAGTCTGTCAGTTACGAATGCCTCCTTACGATGCTTCGTTTTGGTTCCAGAACAGGGTGACTCAGTGGGTGGAAGGTAGGCGTCACCTTCCACTGTCGAAGGGCCCTGAGTCCGATTCCTTGTCTAACTACTTGCCTTTCATGCTTCTTCTGAGGCTAATCGTTATTCTCACAATGCAGCTGCAAACATTGCCCTTAAAATAACGAACCTGTGCCGGATCAGCGCCGCATTATAAACACCGGTAAACGTAACCACGTGCCACGTAAATTGTGTCAATCGTGGAAGCGTACCCGGGAAACGACGCAACGATGTTTCAACGGCTATAAGGTTTTATTTCGTTGCTTTCCCATGTTTTGTATTGTCATCGAATGAAACTGCGACCAGTGGTCAGACCAGATCCGGCAGTCATCGGAGAGTGGTCAACCGTGGCAGCAGCTCAGACATACAATCATGGCAGGAGATCACATCAGCGCACACAAAACTTCCCATATCATGCTTCGACGCTGTTTATTTTATACGCGCCGATGAAACAGACGTTCGGAACGACGCTAGTGCCGGTATGACTGGCCGCAAACCCGAGCATACAAAAACAATCAATCATACGTGTTAAACGGAGGGAACTACTGCGAAGCGTCTGGACGCTTCCTCATAACGTACCCAGGTTTATTACGGTAGATCATCGTCTCTCAGCAGATTAATGGCACGATACAGAAATCCGTGTAAGGTTTTTTCGAGTTGCACTAAGTACCGCGAGTAATATGCATAAATTTACGAGTACAATCTGTTCAACTTCGTTTTTTCTGCCCGCTGATTCAGCGCCAGAAGTTCGCTACATTTTATTCGACCATCAGCAAAATTTCGTCATGTTTCCGCTATCTTATATCACGAAACCTGATTAGCTGATCATAGAAAAAAATTCGGCATTATCTCGCCGCTGTCCCTTAAAAATGTTTAGCCTTAACTCAGAGCGTCTGCCTCACGTGAAGAAAATTATAGCGCACGATTTCGATAAGAGAGCAGAAAAAGTACAGGCCTGGAACATTAATCTCGCTGACCGCCAGGAGTATTGCATACGTGCCTTAATTCGATTCGAATTGCCTGAGTACAGAAGCAGACACCGTTTATTTACATCAGTCAGTTTCGATGACCGCTGATCCTATCGGGTGGCGAAGGCAAGTGTTCCCAACGTTTTGGCACCTGTACCAACACCCTGAGATTCACAAGAGTCCATCGAGAATCACGTCCCAGGTCATCATTGTCCATCTGGAGGTCTTCGGTCAACTGGTCGAACAAGTATTAACTGTTCTGCGTTTCTTTCAGGAAGCATCCGCAAGACCTCCCCAAACAATCGCAATCTTGAGATGCAGCGACAGTAAACCAAGGATGTCTTGAATATCTGACCTTCGAACTGCGTCAAGATGCAAGAGCCTAGGGATTAGTCTCAGAATGCCCACGGTCCACCACTTATGACCGTAGCTGAGCATGGGGATGAAAATCGACTTCAATAACGACACCTTCGTTTTTCAACTCTGCCAGTCATTATAAACATCTAACATTATGATATCACATTCAGTGATATCGCTCTAAAGAGCCATTACATGATTGCCAGGTGATGGCATGTCCAGTTCATCATCAGAAGTCATCGTTGCATGACTAAAATCTTTTCTCCTATCGATGTCCTTTTCGAAGGCTCTTTGAACATATACCGCGTCATGGCATTTTCAAAGCGAGCAGTTTGCTCATGCATTCCGAATAAGGGCCGTTGATTCTGCTATTGGTCACGCCAAGATATCGTTGCCGCAAAAGTTCGTCTGGTAATTAACGACAGCGATCGATCGTACAGTAAGGTGCTGGCACATTTTTTGCGACACAGGAGGAAGCTCGTCGTCCCATAGTCTTTCGGTCGTTAAGTAATGGGAATGGTAACAGGTGCAGTGAAATCCACTCCAGTAGACTGCTTATCGATGCTATCACACACTGCCCATTCACAACATCTCAAAGACGAACAAACGATTTGCCTGTCCACAGAAAGTGATGCCAATCATATGCTTCTAGCCATGATATCATGCCAGTAAACGATACTTGAAATTGGGCAGTCTGCCAATCGACTGCGTGAACGCGACCACCAAGGACGAAAATCCTAGTTTTGGCCTCGCAGAGGAATCTGCGGATAAGAGTGAGTGACCTGGCTCGTCGGGAATGATCGGCGTTGAGTCGAATCCGCGCTGGACAGAGCCGTTACGGACGGTCATCTGCTGCGTGGCTGGAATGGGAAGCCGAAGCATCAATGCAAGTGCAGTCGGAAACAACGGCTGGGTTCACATCACATCCTGACGATGACGACAATGAAGAGTCAGCTGCAAGGTTGGTCGAGGCGAATTACAGTATTATGAGAAGTTCGCATCGAACTGCATGACCCCAGTCTCGTCCATTCTGGGGTGACCGCATCGGAATACCATGCCCAAAGAGCATTGTTCGCAAGTTCACAAAAGCTGTTGCCCGATCCTCGGCCGACTGTATCGAAGCAACGAGAGGTGAATCAGCGATTAAGAAGAACTTTCTACCTTTACCGGAACCGAACCTGGCTCCTGCAGAGTTTTAGGTCGTCCCTCATCGCTATGCCACAGACACGTCTTGACAAAGAAGACAGTAAAGCATATGGTTTTTGAATGCTTGCTAGAAAGTTCGAACGATGACTGATGTCCAGGATATTATGCCAAAGGTCATTAACCGATTCAGAAATATACACATTAATTTTATATGGTGAGAGTTTCCTCCAGCCATACGACCGAAGAATGTTCATTGCAAAATGCTGATTCATTGACAAATCTCAAGCCCTGAGAGTCCTAAAAGTTCCAAACGAGACAAAAACGACAAACACGAAGTAAAACTCAAACAAGTCCTTCAATTGGCATATTATTTTTGTCACGACGTCAATTAATGACGGATGCATGGACGTTC